ATTGGTTTTAACCAAATTCGGGTCACCAATAAGCCTCTTAGCACGCCTTTCCATTGAGTCCAGAGCTGCTAGGTGGCATTTTGCAGCACCAGCCCAAATATGGCAGCAATACTCCATGCACGACCGGACTTGCGCTTTATATAAAGTAAGCAGCTGTCCCGGCGTGAAGTGTCGCCGCACCTTTGCAAGAACTCCCAGCTTCCTTGCAGCTGCTTTGGCCTTGGACTCAATGAACCGCCCGAAGTTCAAATTTGAGGATATTTCAAACCCTAACATCTGAAGGCGGTCGGTATATTTCAGTGATACATTTCGGAAAGAAGGAGCCAAGGTGAGCTGGCTCCTTTTTGCAGTGAAGAGACACGCTTGTGTTTTGGAGGCGTTGAACTTCACAAGATTGGCATCGCCCCAATCGGAGACTGCCTGTAGTGTGAGATTCACACGCTCTACCATAGCTTCTCTTTCGGACTGGATTTGATCCCGACTGGCCCGAGGTCTTGGTTGGTATCCTTCAACAACTGTGCTATCGTCTGCATACTCATAGATACCGGGCATAAACAGATCATTAATATGCAGCAGGAAGAGAGTTGCGGAGAGAACGGACTCCTGAGGAACACCAGCTTTAGTCGCCATAGGATCGGATGAGCAGCCCTCGACGACGACCCGGAGAGACCGTTCACTCAGAAAGTCCTTTACCCATTCAATCAGACCAGGGGATAAGCCGAACGCTGGAAGCTTACCCAAAAGGCTAGTGTGCCAAACTCTGTCAAAGGCCTTCGAGACATCAAGGGAAACAGCACGTGCTTCCCCACTGTTCTCGAGTGCCTCGCCCCATACGTGTGTGGCATACGCTAGAAGGTCCCCAGCTGACCGATTTCGGCGAAACCCATATTGCCGGTCACTAAGGAGGTCATTCTGTTCTAGGTATGCCATTAAGTGAGCATTCAATATACGCTCCATAATCTTGCAGAGTATGGAGGTAATTGAGATTGGCCGATAATTGGCAGGGTCGGCGCGGCTGTCTTTTTTTGGAACAGGCTGCACGTTGGCCAGCTTCCAGGATTTTGGCACAATTCCAGTACTAAATGAGAGGCGAAACAAGCGTGTCAACACAGGAGACAACTCAGGTGCACAAGCCTTTAGGACTATAGCTGGTATACCATCTGGTCCACTAGCTTTATTCACGTCTAGACACCGCAAGGTTTTAAGAACCTCCTTATTAGTTATACGAATCTCCGACATAGAGGTCCCGCAGTGAGGTAATTATGGTGGAACGTTGTTGCCACTGTCCAGACGTGAATTGTACGCAAAGAGAAACGCGAACAAGTCCGCTTTCTCCTTAGCCGTATGCGCCAGTGTGCCATTCGATTTTACCAACGGAGGCAGTGTCTCGACCCCTTTGGCGAGAGACCAAAAAACTCTAGTGCCGGATGGTCTGACCGAGAGTTTTGCTCCAATATGTTTAATGCGATCGAGACTAGCTTTCCGTAATGCTTTTTTGTAGGACTTGGCGATCTGGTTGAAAGTTCTCTTCTTGGAGGTAATATCCGGAGCTTTGCGGTTTCGAGCGTCAACCCAGGATAGGTAAGCTAAATGCTTGCGCTTTTCAGCTTGGGCGCATTCAGCGTTAAACCATGGGCGAGCTTTGCTACCGGTGGAAGCGTCAGAGAAGGGAATAAAGTACTCCATAGCTTGACGCCACATATCCGTTATCGCAACCGCGCAGCTCGACGGATCCGCAGAAGAGAAACAAACCTCCCGCCAAGGATAAGGTGCAAAAAAGTGTCGCATCTCATCCCAATCAGCTGACTTATACCGCAATATTCGTCGAACACCTTGGGACTCGTAATCAGATGGAGAATATGACGATACATATTTCACCAGACAGTGGTCAGATGTACCCAAAGGAGAAGTAACCTGTACTTCATATCTGTCTGGTTCGGTAGTCAGCAGAAGGTCCAAGCAATTTGTTGTGTGACCGTCTCTACATCGGGTACCCTGGTCGCCACCTTTACCATCTAAGAAAGACCTAGCGTTAAAGCAAAATTCCACGCTTCTCTTCCAGCATGGTCGGTCTTTTGGTATGGGAACAGCCAGTCTTGGTGACAAGCGTTAAAGTCCCCCAGAAAGGTCAACTGTGCAGTAGGATGCCGATTTAGGGCCACGTCAGCAGCCTCACTAAGGTGAAAAAGCCTCACTAAGGTTTAATTTATGTATTTTTTTTTAATTTGTTTACGATTTGGCGGCAAACTGAAAATTGTCTGTGTCACGTCAGCACATCGTCAGAATGAATTTAACGCGAGAAAATTTTCGTACAATGATTTTTTATGAATTTCGATGTCATTTAAGTCAACAAGAAAGTTATGATAGACTTTGATTGGCCTTTCACGATGAAGCCCCATCTCATGCCACTGTTTACAACTGGTTTAATGAGTTTAAACGTGGTCGCACTAATATCACCGATGATCTGGGTGAGGGACGGCCTTCTACGGCGACGACTGAAGATAACATCAATATTGTGCGGCGTATCATAGAGACTGACAAAAGAGTGACTTATCAGCAGATTCGGACAAGCTTAGGCATCGGTATGAGTCAAGTGCAAAAATCCTCCATGATTTAGTGGTCAGGAAACTTTGTCCCGGTGGATACCTACCTCATAATTTGACAGAGGCCCAAAAACTCTGTCGTGTTGATTGGTGTCGTGAAATGGTTCAAAGATTTAACGGAGGTGACTCAAATGCAGTGTTCGACATACTTACGGGTGACGAAAGCTGGATTTATTGTAATGATCATGAAACTAAGATACAGTCTGCTGTCTGGGTGTTTCCTTCCAAGGAGTTGCCAACTAAAGTGAAGAGAGGTCGAAGCGTGGGAATAAAGATGGTGGCCTCGTTTTCGGAAGGACAGGTTATTAGGCAACAATTGTTTTAGAGGATCGACAAACAGTTACTGCAGATGGTATACAAACAATTGTTTGCCACTTGTCTTGGAAAAAGTTCGGGTGAAACGGCCTCGCAGTAGGATCCTCCTTCACCATAACAACGCCTCGTCGCACGCCGCCAAGCAAACGATCAACTACTTGGCGATGTGAGACGTGGAATTTCTGGGTCACTCGCCCTATAGCACCTTGCGATTTTTATTTATTTCCGAAAATAAAAGAAAAACTTTAAGGAAAATGTTTTATGGACGCCGAAGAAGCATGTGTCTGCATTTCAAAATCTCGTCAAAGAGACTCCTAAGGACGAGTGGGCAAATTGCTTTTTTCAGTGGTTCCATCGAATGCAGGGATGTATTGATGTAAATGGACACTGTTTTGAAAAGATATAATAAAACTAATAACTTGCTAGTTTGTTCAGTTTTTCATTTTCTAAGAACTTTCAGTGTCACCCTCGTACCTACTCATATCTATTAATTCCTGACAAGTCTCGTATTCCGTCAATGTAACAATCGCGGTCTTTGAAGGTAGTTACAACGGCCTCGCAGTCGCATTTAAGAGAGGCTTCTTGCGAGGCCCCAAACAAACACAATTAAATTGGTAACTTTCTTTTTTGAGTGTAAAAGTGATCAAATTAATTAGTTATCTGTGGTAAAGTTTGGCATCGGCATACGACATCGCATTTTAGGGGGCTTCGCGAGGCCCTTTTAAGTGCAAGGCCGTGGGCGAGGGACCTACTACTACGCCAGTCTTACAATCATGTATGTAATACAACAACACAAATCAAATTAGAAATAGCTTGGTAGTGACCACCTCAATCCCAGGGGTTATTATCATCCATAAATTACTTAATATAATAATAGCCCTTTTTATACAAACTTAGTTTATTAAAGTTTTAGAACTTTGAGCAGGTTTTGTATATTTTCTGAGATTTTGTTAAGTTGTGTAAGTTAATGCTCTCATTGAATAATATTAACAATATAACACAATAAAATATGTTCTCAATTAGCGAGTAACATTGTATGGGTGTAAGTGTTGATTTTTACTTTGAAATAAATAAATATATTGCTACATGACTATTACGATAACTGTTTTTCATTATCATGCATTACCTATCTGTATATGTATAAAAAATATACCAGATTTCAGTGTACAATAAAAAACAAATTAACATATCTAAATAAGTTTCGGTTTGTTTCGGTTTCGGCCGAAACTGACACCCAGACCGAAGGTTCGTTTTTGGTTTCGGTTGAAAATCCTGTTTGGGTCGGAAACTAAAAATAACCTTGTATATATAGATTAAAGACAAAGACATTTAAGTAGTTAGTATACCTATATATTTAAATCTCTTCGATTAAAGATGACAAATTAGCATTGACACAGTCCACCGGATTTCCATTACGAATCAAAATGCAGATGTGTTGTCATCCCAACACAGCAGCAAATAGGCTTCTATTTTACGTTGGTATTCTGTGAGAGCGTGGTCCTTCGGGGTCGAACTAACCTTTTTGTGCTGTAGATATAATACAGTTGCAGCATAACTCTACCAAGTTAAGCAACAATTATATATTTTATAAACTGGATCATAGTAAAACCATATATGTAATAAATACTAATAGTGAGTCAACTCCTTTGTTATACCGCAAAATACCTACAAGGCTGTGTTATCTAGTCGCTAAAAATATGCAAGGGTTAAACAAAAACATTTCCTTAGATAATAATTTCATAACATTATATTTTATATGTATTTTTCGTAATAATTTATTTTTCTATACAAAGGTACAAATTAATTACTTCTTTACAACTATTCCCGTCCCGCAGCTTCACCAAATTCGTCGTGATGGAAACAAAGACTTGTACTGGAAGGTACCTACCTAATTTTACTATGTTTTTTGTTACAGGTCTATGTGGATGAAGTCGCGGGTAAATGCTAGTTAGTATTATAATAATTTAAAGCTGTGTAAAATAAAATTTTGTTTTAATATCAAGAACTATGTACAAATACGATTATCTTCATTTAATACTTCTCATCAAAGGAAACCCAAATTAAGAAACCTCTCAATGCAAATTATTTGACTTTAACTACTGCTTTTCCAATGTTCTCTCCTCTTAGTATACCAACTAAAGCTTCAACCATGTTATCAAAACCGTGATAAACTTTCTCTTGATATTGCAATTTGCCCTCACGTAGCCAGGCCAGATTGGCTTTGATACCCTCACTCCAACGATCAGCCCAACGATTTACCAAAAATCCCTCTACTTTCAGTTCTTTAAAAACAATTGCTGGTTGCAAAATTGTCACTGAAAGAGAATCATATAAAAATTACTCTATGATTTTTTAAGAAATGTTGTCTTTAAAAAGTAAGGTATAATAAGCTACATGTTTATAACGAACCTTTCGGTAAAACAGCATCATTGTAAGATGATATAGAACCACAAACAGCCACCCTTCCATTTTTATTCATATAACTCATAATAGTTGAACTTATTTCCCCGCCGACCTACAACAATAAAGTCATTACGGAATATTCATTAGACTCAATATGGACAACAAATATGGGAAATTTACAGGACATTGTACATAATTGGGTAGAATATTCTAGAGGTAGTGTAAAAGATTAGGGCACTCAAGAACAGATGATTAGCAGATCCCTCGTCTAGTCTAGCCCACATTCACAGATTTAGCTATCCCTAATCCTGAGAATCCCTTAGCCAAGCGAACTGTACAGGCATGTTTAATGTGATTTTATTCGTACTAATAATATTAAACTGTAAAATTGCTAATCAATTTTGAAATGAAAATAAAAATTAAAAATAGCATGCGAATTTGAAAATTTTATAACATCAAAATGTTTTTACCAAGGGGGCACCTTCTAGTTTTATTTACATATACAGACAGTAGGTAAAGGTGCGGCTGGGGTGCCCCTTGGGTCACCCTAAAGGCTCGTACATTTGTATAATATAACGCATATCGCTAATTAGGCACAGACAGACTAGCGACCGTCTCGTTGAATAAAATTATAAGGTGACCATGTAATGTTCAGGCTGTTAACAGAAATGCTACTTGGCTGCGATAGATATAAAGGGAATAATGACATGTATCCTGACTTGCCCATTGGCCGATTTATAGGGCTATTTGCTCTAGTAACGAAAACTATCAATTTATATTAGATACATGTAATTTTGCTTAGTGTGTGTACTGAGAAGTGAACATGGGCGAACTAGTTTCTACTACTGATGCTCCAGTGTTCACTACACACTATTTTTCTACTTACTATGGAGCGAATAATTGTCCTTTGCTGAATATCTTTTTAGCTGTATGTAGTCCACTATTGGACCAGGTCTCTCTCATTATAGTGAGAAATCGCAGTAATGGCCACGCTTGGCAAATGGATTGGATATAAAATCCAAAAGTTCTTAATTTTCCCTTTAGTCAACACTTACAATACCAATACCACACAAAAATGCAGCGAGAAACCATTTTATTAATTAAAAATAGATGATTTTTTTATTGCAAAGATTCTAATGTACCAAAATTGTGTTAATAGCGTTCTTATACATACATTGTCAAAATAGCAGTCGACGCGGTTTGGCGCACTCTCCCTCAGAGCAGCCTTTATATCGACCGTTTTGTAATTAAATGCGCGGTCGAATTTCAATTCTTTTTCTAAGTATTCACATTTCTCGTCTGACCCAGCAAAACCAACAACTCGACAACCTTAAAATAAAGTTTTATTATTATTGCATTAGGTTCAAACAGTAAGTTTTGCAGGGTAATCTCAACCCAGTGGTGCAACTGGCATACGTTTGGAAAATAATGATGAATGAAGAAGAAAATTACCTAATATTTTACCAATTTGTCCAACATGTGAACCAACAGCGCCAGCTGCCCCAGTTATTACAATAGTTTCACCTCTCTGCGGCTTGCATATTTCTTTTAAGCCAAAATAAGCTGTATTACTGTGATAAACAAAACTTGAATTGAGCAATCAGAATACAATTAATATATTACATTACCTTTAGACATTCTTACCCGGGCATGCCTAGTATTCCTAGCCCAAGAGAAACAGGATGTGGGCTTATGTCCGGCAACATATTTAAAGGCAAAAAACCCATGTTAGGGGGCTTATTAGGGTTACAAATAGTATGAGTTCGCCATCCAAAAGACCCTGCGACATAGGCGCCAACCGGATAATTTTTATTCCGACTTGCTATAATCCTGAAAAGATTATTATTAAACAGTACAGACGAGAAATATACAGTACAGACAGTAGATCATAAAGATCACATATGCACTACTTGACTACTATATCCATCCATATATCTCTATAAATAATGAAATATACTTCATCACTTCATTCTTAAGACATTATTTACTGAACAGGCAGTACTTCTAATGGCGCATTTAGATTAGTCGGTTAGATCGTATTCGGCTGCAGGCCGTATTCGGTCACCGACTAATATAAACAGGTATTCGTTTGGCCGTATTCGGTTTGGCCGTATTCGGTCGAGCCCGTTGTCGGTGTCGAGTGCGCCGTGCCCCGCACGTCGCCCGCCGCCCGCAGCCCGCAGCTCAGTTCGAAGAGCGCGAGCCAGTCCGCCGCACGCGCACGATTGTGCATATTTAAATGACTTAATAGAGGTGTTATCCACACTCTCTTTCTCTTTGTACTCCTATTTTTCAATATTTTCCTCAAAACTTCTTGTATTACATCGCACACAGTTAAAAATCCTTCTAACACAAGACTGTTCATGACGATGCTGGCAACCCGACTGTTCAATATACAATCGCCGCATCAATCAAGTCGCCGAATTCGGTTAACCGACCAATGTAAACAACTCAATTTAGGTAAGCATTTCAGTTAAACCGAATGCGGCCGCCGCCTTCGGTGACCGACCTAATGTAAATGCGCCATAATTTACTAAGCAAATTCGCGTTTCTTAAAGACTTACAATTATTGACTAATTTAAACGTAACTTCCAGTCCGCTCCTTTCCTACGCCGTTGTCTTGATTTGAGCATTTCTTCTTCAGTATGCGCCTTTTAGCCACGGTGCCAAATCCAAGTGCGCAAGGAACAATTTAATATTATTTAATAATTGAAAGAAAAAAAGAAAATAGAAAACTAATTAGTGTAAATAGTGATAAACGACGTAAATTATATTTCTGTGTAATTCATCACCGGTTCATTTGATTCATCATTTGATAGCACGAAAGTGATAATGCATCTCCGAAGATGACTATACACTGAAAAATCGTACAATCAAATAATCGCAACGTTAAGGCGGCTAATCAGTCATTGAGAAAAATATCCTTCGTACCCTAAACACTCCAGACAAAAATCTCTAAAATTAGTAATGTCTCAAGAAAATATTTTTACTTGGAAGCTTAAGCAAGATTCCCTATACTGAGAAGATCTTTGGCAGACACTACAAGAAATCAATTCTAATATCCAGTAAATCTCACATACTGTGCCAATATGATTCTTCTACATCATTACCTTCCTCATCTCAAATCTCCTACCACAGAAAAAGGTTTTGGATGTGACAAATCTTTAATTCTTATTAACATTTTTTTTATTTTACCACTGGTTCAGAAAATACCCCTGTTCTGGGAAGAATCAGTAGGAAAGTCAGCGGTACCTTTTTTTCAAAATATATCATACAATAATACGTACTTATGTTGTACAAAACTTATTCAAGAAACGGCTTGGAAGCGATCACCTCGTTACCAGGGGTAATTATCAACCATGTATTCATTTATATTATAATAACCATTTTGCTACAGTTATGTTTAATAAATTCTTCAAACTTGGTATTTGAGAGACCTTGTATAGTTTCTGTTACTTTGTTGTTTTAATAACTGACTCGTGTGTATATTGGGTGTTGTTGTCATGATGTTGCGTTCGCGTTTTAATGAAATCTTGAGACAGTAATACTAAAATATGTAGACGTATGTACATGCATCTGCTGTGATGACTAAATATCCTCAGGATCATGTGGACATTGACGGTCGTAGGCGCTTACGTCTTTATGACACGTCAAATCTGCCCCAGTAAGCAATAATATTGCTCTTACGTCTACTATACGGCTATGTGGCCTAAAAATAATTTCAGACTCTCTAGCTTACGACAAATGATATTTTGCAATTTACTCAAAAAGTAATTAATATTAAGTTATAAGAAAAATTGAGATTACGTATTTCTTATAGTAAAAGCTAATGGCGTGGTAAACTTAGAAATGAGTATATCCGCTGTAGAACCAGAGTGACCGACATGGCCCAAAGGATTAGTAAGTTGACGTGGCAATGGGCCGGCCATATAGCTCGAAGAACCGACAACCGAAAGGGAAAAAAGGTTCTCGAGTGGCGGCCTCGTACCGGCGGACGAAGTGTAGGGCGTCCCCCCACTAGATGGAGTAACGACCTGGTAAGACATGCAGGATGTCGATGGATGCAGGTGGCTCAGGACTGTGCTTCGTGGCATTCCTTGGAGAAGACTTATGTTCAGCAGTGGACTTGTGAAGGGCTGTAATGATGAATGATGATAGAAAACTTACCACTTTATAAAAATTAAGATACTTGAATGAATTTTTTGACACCCGCGACTCCGCGAGGCAGCAATATCTCACAACATTCAGCTATTATAATCGTACAATTATCGTGTTATTACCCTAGTATTGGATCCATCATATGCTCATATGGCAAAGTTCTAACTTAAACCAAATTAAGTTGAAAATGAATTACATACTTAATCTTTGGCATACCTCGCTACTTGTCCGCCTATCATGTCTGTTGGCAATTTGTATCCTATCATATAAGCTCGCATGTACGGGTCTACACTAAGGTATTCGGCTTCCGTTAATATTTCTGAAAATCAATAAAAAAAAGTGAGCAGAACTTTTATAAATAATGAATTCAGTGAATTTATTTTAGATTTTCAACCACGGTGTCAACTCCTAAACAATAAAGGATAATCAACTTAACTGTACAAAAGACACTTGTCCCATAGATATATGTATTTGCCTGTAGGTACATTTATGTGCACAATAGTATGACTGGAAAAAGTTTTTTCTGGTCGAAAAACATGATGCAGAGATAAGATAGGTATTAAATGCAGTGTTAAATACATTGGGCTGCTTACATTAAAAGTTCACATATGTCATTTTTTTATAGAATAGGGTGACAAATGAGCACACAGTCCACCTGATGGTAAGTGGTTGCTGTGACCCATAGACATCTACATCTGTCCTCAATAAAGAATCAAAATGCAGATGCATTGTCACCCGTGAGCAGGGTTTGCATGACCGAAAAATTATGGGCTATAAGGGTTAAGGTTATTACGTCATACTTTTTTTTATTGCGATAGCTTAAAATTACGATACAGAAATTTTTCGGTACCGAAAAATAAGGGTACCGTTATATTTTTCGCTACTTTAACCGATTCAGTGCGGGTGACACGCCAGACGTGCCATCGATTACTTTTGTGTGTGGCGTATAACACGCGAGTCGTGTCTTTTTAAAAATCGTTATAACTCGCTCAAATTGCTTTTTTGGAAAATTTATCCAGAACATAATATTCATTATTTTGCGAGTAGTTCATGCATGCAGCTTCGTTTCTGGATATTTTGAAAATTTGAAATTTTTAGGGGATGACAACCTTTTTTAACAAGTACATGGTACTATTTTTACTTTGTGTGTTTTAAATCATGTTATGGAAAAATTGTCTAATAAGTAACAAATAATAGCACTCATTGCGATCGCTCACAAACTCAAGTTGTAAATAAATTTCTGGAAAACAAGTCTCCTGTTAAAAAAAACAATGAGTTTGTCTTATTGTTTAATTTTGCTTAAAATGGTTGAACTGCCGTCTTATTACTATCATATGGCCGAATAGACCTACGAAGTACCATGCGCTCTTGTGATATGGTATAAGGTTTATTTTTGTTTGAAACAGTTCGAAACCGTTCATGCATAAAAAAAGTTCGCTAATAAATAGTCTTTTGTCAATCCGTCGCCGTATAGCGCCGGCGTTTTTTTCCTTTTGAAAACACTTGTTTTGCTATTCTTACTAATTAGACGTTTTCAGATCGACTTTACTTTTACATTTGTATAACATTAAATAATATTTAACATTTGTAAATAAATATCAATGAATGATATACCTTATTTTTTTTTCAAATTAAGTTTCTTCATTGTTTGATATTTACAAATGTTATTATTAAGTGAAAATTTAATTTAATAAAAACCAAGGTTTCCATGGTGATTTAGCTGTACCTACTTATATAAATTATTTTTTTATAACAACAAAAAATAGTACAAAGGTTTGTAATCTTTTCATAAAAAAAAGTCACTTTTTGTCAATTTCAAAGAAAACGCGTAAAAAAACACGTAGTTACCCACTAAAAACAAGTATCCTTCCATTTGTAACTTATGTTTGATGTCAAATAAACTTAATTAGGTCTAAACAAGTAAAAAAAGCATAAAAAAGAACATTACTTTTACACGTGGCGGATGGCACAAAGGCGTGTCATTTTTGTCTGTGGCGCTTGACACGCCCGACGTGTCATGAAATATTTGTTCGCCGCCACAGCTTAAAGTTGTCGAAAATTGGTGCCGCAATGAATCGGTTAACCATCAACGTAAAGGTTTCTTTTGGTTATCGCCAGCCGACCGTGACATCCCGCAGACCCCACACCGCACGCACTAGCAGCATTGATTGCGCTTCAAAATTACCTTACCTTATTATAATAAGGTGACCCAATGAAGCGAAACATGTATCATCTTGCTAAAAATAAAACTGCTCGGGGCAAGCGGAGCAATAAGACCAAGGCGACCCTTGTCACGCTATCCATGAGTTTTTGCAACATCAGGGGACTATATTCAAACCTTAAGGGCTCATACCCACGAGACGGTTTTTCGCCGGAGCTAAGCCCGGCGTCAAACCGGGTCTACGTCCGGTCGTCAGTATTGTATGGGACGCTGTGAAGCCATTCACACGACGCCGGCGCTAGCGCCGGCTAATCGCGCAAATGGTAGCGCCGGTTAACCCGCGCAAATGGTAGCGCCGGCGTCGTGTGACCGTCTCGTGGGCATGAGCCCTAACGCTATTCACTACCATCTGGGGAGGGCGCAACTGCCTTGATCTTTTTAACCGAGACTCAGGTGGCTTCTCAGTCTAATACTTCATGCGGGGAGATCTGTTTATGACTTTGCCTTGACATATGGTCTTACACAGCTGGGTACTTCGTCTACGCGGATTCCAGAGAGAGAGAGTGAGAAAGAGAGAGGAGGGAGGATCATGCACCTTCCCTGTTGGACCTTTTGCTGACCTATCATTCGCATTCGGACGGATATTAGATTTCCGTCGACGCCCCTTTGGTTCCTCGGACCATTGTCTTATCCGGAATGTGGTGCCACTCACACTAACATCGCGGTTGCAATCTGCAGGATTTTTTTTTATTTATTCTTAGAAAGTGTTACATTATTTACATTTAAAATTTTGCCAAACTGTAAGCCAGTTTGTCGCCGTGTTTGGCAGTATAGGTCGGCCGATTGGGATAGGATACGGTCTTTTTTTGAATCTTACCCTTGGGGGCGGTTTATTTTTCGCAGGACGATCCCAGCGTTGTTGCTGATTCTGTCGCTGATGTTATACTTCACAGTATGGAACTTTGTATTCCAATCTCAGTGGTGCCCATCGGTGGCAGATTTCAGCCATCCTTTGGTCGCTCCTGTGAAATAGCATCATGCTATAAACAAGAGTGCTACCGGGCCTGGGCTGACGCATCAACGTCTCGGGATGTAAACACCACCGCTCCGAAAAAGAAGTATGACTTCGGCTCCAGGTCCTTCAATAGAATCATTGCCAAGGCAAGGTCAGAGCACATTGGCAGAATTGGCGAGAAGCTAATTCGCCTTCCTTCGCGGACCCGTGCATTCTAGTGTCTTACCAAGGCTGTCCAAGGGAACTTCTGTCAGCCATCTTTTTCATCTCTGCACAGAGAGGACGATTCACTGGCTCATGCCGCAAAGGAGAAAGCCGATCTGTTAGGTTTTCTTTTTGCGTCCAACTCGACTCTCGATGACGGGGGAACACACCGCCGACCATGCCGCGGTGTGAGTGCTCCATGCCGGATGTAAGGTTTACACAGCGCTCGGTTCACAAAGCATTCTTCTCACTGGACGTCAACAAGTCGAGTGGGCCTGATGGAGTCCCTCCTATTGTGCTGAAGACGTATGCTCCGGAGTTGGTACCGGTTTTAACGCGTCTTTTTCGGTACTCCTATTCCCAAGAAGTAGTACCGAATTCATGGAAGATAGCTTTGAACCACCCGATCCCTAAAAAAGTCGATCGTTCAGAACCCGTGCCGTGTGGTGGCGGTTAAGAATATCCACTACCCCATATCTTCCCGTGGGTGTCGTAAAAGGCGACAAAGGGAAACAGGCAGGAGATGGGCAGCAGCATCTTCCTGATAACAACAAACTTACAATAAAAAAACTGCGGTTGCCAACCCGCTCGCCAAGCGTGGCAACTATGGCAAATACCCATAAAACATGATAAAAAAATATGATAACAGTAACAAAGAAACGGCCCCCAGTCCCCGGCGGCCCCGTTCTTCCGGGCTACGGTGGCGACCATGGTAACGGCGGGGCAGGGGGTGCTAAGAATCTCCAGTGGAGGTTCGGTTGCCACCTAAGACGACTCGACCTGGCAACATACAACGCACGCACCCTGAGGACTGACGAGAAGATCGTGGAGCTGGAAGAAGAGATAGACAAGTTACGCTGGTATATTATAGGATTATCCGAAGTCCGAAGAGAAGGGCAGGACACGGTAATCCTCGAATCCGGCAACTTGCTCTATCACCGGGAAGGCGACCATCTGTCCCAAGGAGGTGTCGGATTTATCGTCCACAAGTCTCTCGTTAACAACGTTGTAAAGATTGAGTGTATCGACGAGGGTTGCGAACCTTATACTCAGAATCACCAAACGGTATTCGCTGAAGGTCATACAGGTTTACGCACCAACCTCGGCACACCCCGATGAGGAGGTGGAGGAAATGTATGAGAATATCTCTAGAGCCATGCATTCCTCCAAAACCCAATATACGGTGTTAATGGGAGACTTCAATGCAAATCTAGGCACAAGAGAGAACGGTGAGCTGAAAGTAAGGAAATTTGGAATAGGGCAACGGAACCCAAGGGGCCAGCAGCTGGCCGACTTCATGGAGAAAGAGGGACTATTTATGATGAACTCTTTCTTCCAGAAGCGGCCCCACAGGAAGTGGACCTGGTCGAGCCCCGACGGTTCCACAAAAAATGAGATTGACTTTATTATGACGAGACGACAACTGTTGAGTGATGTCTCCGTGATCGCGAGGGTGAAACTGCGGTGCAAATGCATGCGGCGGGACTTACGCAACTTCAATACAGCTTGTATTGAGGAAGCGATCGAGCGGAACCAAGGCTCCAAAGTCTTTGCCAGAGATCTGTCTGCCAGAAAGAGCCAACTGTCGAAGCTGAAGACCCAGTGTGGCAGCATCATTTCCGTGGCACCTGAGACTTTGAGTAAGATTGAGAGGTTCTATGGGCAGCTTTACACGTCATCGTTGGAGCCACACGCAAGTGTAACGATCCAAGAGCGAGTCTTATCCGACACTATTCCGAAGATATCCCGGACGTCAGTCTGAGCGAGATTAGAATGGCTCTCCAGCACCTTAAAAACGGTAAGGCCCCAGGCGAGGATGGAATTACAGCGGAGCTTCTAAAAGCGGGTGAAAGACCGGTACTTGAAGTCCTTCAGAAGCTTTTTAATTCCGTCCTCCATGGTGGCATTACACCGGAGGCGTGGAGCAGAAGTGCGGTGG